TTTATTTTTCCTGATATTTCTGTACCTCTAACATACTCTAAAAACAGCAAAGTAGCACAAACAACACAATTAATCTTTATTTTTTCAGTACTTCTATTTCTCCTCCTTCCTCTAACTATGGCTCATCTTTTTATATTAGTGGAAACTGTGAGTATGGAGAAGCACTTCAGAGACCCTGCCCCATCATTAGCCTTATCACTGGGAGCTGTAGGATAAACAGGACTAAAAGTATATCGTGGGGTACATTCACTTATGAGATTCATTTTTTACTATCCTGCTAACTTTTTAATGAAGAATTTCTATGTGTCAGACCCTGTTTAGAAAGTATGAATAACTTTTTAGGTTTAATTTTACAATAACCCTTAAAAGAGTACTATTATCAATTCATTGTAGGAATAAGGACATAAATTTAAAGTTAAGTAACTTATGGAGGATATAGCAAGAATATTCTCATCTACTACCTTTTTTAGCTTTCATTCACTCATCCTTCTTGAACTTAAATAAAAAAGTTGATCAGAATCACTATGTCTCACATGCTCCCTGGTAATAAAAGCGAATTGGTCTAAAGACTACAGTCTTAGTGATAAGGAGAGACTGTGCTTGTTGAGATTTTACAAATCAGAGAAACAGTATTTTTGAGGCTATAGTTAAATTTGTCACTGTCCTCCCATTGTTCATCGATTTGCTCAGGCATAGTTAAACTTAAAATTTGAAATTAAAAAATTACATTTTTCATACTAGTTAAATAGTTCTAGCTCTAAGATTCGTAAAGAATAGATGAAGGCAGAACTTTTTCAGTTTTTGAAATTCTCTTTCACTGTCACTGTCACTGTCCTCCCATTGTTCATTGATTTGCTCGAGCGGGCCCAGTAACGTCTCCACTGGAGACTTTGTTGTTACTGTGTTTGGCATATCAAATACATCGTGCGGGTGAGATACCCTCGGTAGCTTGCCGGGCTCTCCGAGAGGGGCCGAGGAATCGAACTGGGGTCAGCCATATTGGCTGCGTGCAAGGCAAACGCCCTACTGCTGTGCTATCGCTCCAGCACTGAAATTCTCTTTAGTATCATAAATATACAAATTCCTTGGAAGGATTTCCTCTTATGATGACAAATCCTATATCTTTATTCCCAATACAAAGACATAGGAGGGACATAATTCCCTGTATGTTGTGTCTGTATTATTAAACAACCGCATATTCTTTAGGAATAAAAGCTTTTTGAATCCTATTAAGAAAATTAGCTAATTAAAAACTATCATTTGTTTCTTAGTAAAAAGACCATATTTCTACAGCAATAGAAAAATTCTGAATTTTATGGCCTATATGGGTAAGGGATAGTAGTAGAAATGCCTACAGATGGAAATGTTCATTGTCAGACTAAAGAGTAAATTGACAGATTCGCAATTTGTTGTGAATAATGGCATTGGTATTTTGTGTAAATTCACTTCATAGTTGCTGAAAGAGCAGGAGGTTAAGGGCCAGCACAATAGAGCAGAGTGGGAACCCTCAGCAGAAGTCAGGCTCTTCTTTCTGGGCTCTGGAGGAGCAAGCAGAGTGCTCTCTGGGTGTTAGAAACCTGAAGGAACAATACCTGCTGAGCGTCTCACTGCTCTACAGCTCATCCTCTATAGTCTAAATTAATTCCCACTGAAAGCACTTTCATCATTAGCTCCATATTACATGCAAAATCCAAGATGGACCTACACTCAATAAATATAGGCTAAATCTCTCAAGTTTGCATTGTTAACTAGAAAGTAGTGCTGTCCTCCTGTTGTTCATCAATTTGCTCCAGTGGGCCCAGTAACGTCTTCATTGTGAGACTTGTTGTTACTGTGTTTGGCATATCGAATACATCACGGGTAGCTTGCCAGGCTTTACCGTGAGGGCAAGATACTCTCGGTAGCTTGCTGGGCTCTTCGAGGGGCAGAGGAATCGACTCAGTTCAGCCAAGTTGGCCACGTGTAAGGCAAACGCCCTACCACTGTGCTATTGCTCCAGCCCTAACTAGGAAGTAGAAAAACAAAATCTAATTTTAGCTCTTTTCAACTAGAAACACATTTTCTTTCCAGGAAATATTTCTTGAAAGAAAACAAAACCTTTAACAGGTAGGATAAATATGTGTTTAACTGATAGTTAAAACTACATTTCTGTAATCTGAATGTCCTGAGTATTAGTGGGGAAAGGAAAATTTATAAAGGAAACCACTGTGAATAATGCAGGAATGCGTTTTGTATCCTACGACAGCTGACATTTGAATTTAAACCTATGCCAGTCCAGAGGAAAGAAGAAATAGCTAAATAAGACATGGCATAAAAACTAAGATTCTATAATAGATGGGTAATGCTACTCAGGAAAACAATGTATTTTATTAGAAAAGAGGTCATTAAAAGACTTTAAAATGCATGTGTTGGCCCATTCATTTACTTATATGCTTCTATGTAGAAACACATATTTGTACAATGCTTTATAAAAATCTTTCCACTATCACAAATATGTTTAAAGTCACTATCCAAAAGTGAAGTGTTCTCTGAGAATTTTCAGTTGCCAAGTGTGTCCAGAGCTAAAGCAATTAACATTAATTCATACAGTAAATATTTAGTTTCTGTGGTTGCTACCAAATAATGCAAATAATGAACAAAGCCTAAAATAAAATTAACATATAGTAAAATCAGAGATGATATGTTGCATACACAGCATGAATTCAATAAATTCCCGATGAAACTTGGCGTGTGTATGTTGCATGGCAGTTCTGGGCTTGGTGCTGCAGCATTGCAGAGAGCCTGGCATAGTGGGGGTGCCACCAGCACAGTGGTGCCTGGGGCTCAGCAGGAGGCACCTGAAGACACATAGCCAACCATTGTGGTGATGAGGACAGAGCAAGGCATCCACTTCGGCACTTGGAGCTGCGTCATGACTCCTCTCAATGTGAACTTTAGTATTAACTTCTACTCACTGTGAGTGAGGCTCTGTGAATATTTTTTGGGGGGCCTTATATTGATTTACATAAATTCCATAGTGTTTTAAAATACTTGTTTTTGCATGCTACCTTCCCATTTTCTGTGTATTTCAGAGTTATCTGTATTGATCTGACTTTTTATTTTCCTGATAGCTTCAGCCAAGTGCTTCCTAAAGATAGTGATAGTATTTCCTGAGACTAGGTTGGTTAGTCTGGTGTAGTTACGGGCACTTTGGAAATAGTGGGCCTGGCTGATAGTCCAGGTCAGAGTGGACTTTCCTGGGTCCAATGGTGGCATCCCTGGCACTGAGTCCTGCCAGGAGTATCCGAAAGCACAGCCAAAGGAATACATTCAGGTGTGGACCTCAAAACAAACAACAAAAACAAAGAAAGCAGATACTCCAACAGGGCAGAGCGATGCTAAATAATTTTCTTTGCTTTTAAAGTAAGTTCAGGAACTTCTGTTACAGCACTTTCTTCCTTTCTTTCTTTCTTTCTCTTTCTTTCTTTCTTTCTTTCTTTCTTTCTTTCTTTCTTTCTTTCTGTCTGTCTGTCTTCTTTCTTCCTTTTATGAGCCTGTCCTGTTACTTTCTTTTATGAGCCTGTCCTGTTACTTATTTTGTCTTCATAACACAGCAGACAATCTTTCAAAATAATTCATTTAGCTAAATTTCATCTTACAATCCTAAAGAGGTTAATTCAAATGTAGAAGAACATTTCTGGTCCTTCATTTTATACTATAGGATCAGTTAGCATGAAAAATGAACTGCATGCAAAATGAACTCCAAGGTATTGTTAATGAGTTGCATTGTGTCAGCCTTACACCCTATATCATCTCTTGAGCTGTAAGACATTATTTTTCACTTATTTTTTCCTATAGAAGTGTTTTTCTGATTTCAAAGAATATTATGTGTAGTTTGCTAAAGCAGACCCAGTAGCATCTCCATTGAGAGAGTCGTTACTGTGTTCGGCATATTGAATATGTCACGGGTAGCTTGCCAGGCTTTGCTGTGCGGGCGAGATACTCTTGGTAGCTTGCCAAGTTCTCCAAGAGGGGTGGAGGAATCGAACCCTGGTCGCCTGGGTCAGCCGCTTGCAAGGCAAATGCCCTACCACTGTGCTATCACTCCAACCCGGCAAGCTACCGAGAGTATCTTGCCCGCAAGGCAGAGCCTGGCAAGCTACCCGCGAGGTATTCGATATGCCAAACACAGTAACAAGAAAGTCTCCAATGGAGATGTTACTATGGCCGCTCAAGCAAATTGATGAACAATGGGAGAACAGTGACAACAGTGATTATGTGTAGAAACATTAAATTCTGATTACTTGGGGAGGCAAGAGTGCACTGTGCATGAAACTATGATTTCTCCTACCACTGAGTTTGAGGGTCACTTCTGGTGGTTCTTGTGGTATCAGATGGTGCCAAGGATCAAATTAGCATATCAAGCATGCAAATCAAATGCTCAGCCCTTTAAGTTCTCTTTCTGGTTCTAAATTTTGTTTAAATAGGTGATACAATTCACGTCACACTTCATTTCTTAATTTTTACTAAATAAGCATTATAATTCTTATAAAATTATAGTTTAGGAAGCTCACCATATAGATAGAAATCATTTCACTTTTGAAATTTTAAGACAATTTTTTTATGGTTGCATTTTTTTTTCTTTTTTTCCTTCTTTATTTTTGGTGGGTGTTGGAGTGTGTGGATCATACACACAATAATATTCAGAGCTTATTCCTGGCTCTGCTCTAGTGATCACTGCTGGCAGGCTCAGGGAACCATGCAGGGTCAGGCCACATGCAAGGAAAGTGCCCTTCCTATGCTATTATCTCTCCAGGCCCTCTGGTAATGTTTATTTTATTAAAATTGCTATAATTTTTATAACTTTTGGGATTACTCAAATTTTTATTATAGAGATTTTTGTTTAACAATAAGACTAGAGAATTAGTGAAAGACAACAGATTTTCTCTTAATTATTAACATATAGCTTTTCTCTCATTTTATTATACTGAACATGTTTTCTTTTTCTCCTGTTTCAACAGGCTGAGATAAACAGTTCAAATGACCCATTCACAAGTTATAATTCAAAAGTGCCATCAAGTGTAGGAGATGAAATTTTCTCTAAATTCATAGGATGGAGAATTGCCAATACACTTTCCAATCTGTTCTTCCCCTGTCTGGATACCCATACGCTTCCTTTGGAAAAGCCAGTGATAAAACAGGATCAAACGAAACATCTGAAGACAAGCCAGCAGTTTCTGAAGAAAAGAAATTTACAATTTACTACCAGGTAAAGTGAAACACTATGATCTCTCCCATATGTGGGATAATGCCACATGAGACTAGTGGGTGGTCAACTTGAGAACTGGGCTTACAGGACCAAGGCTCAGAGACTCTTTAGAGGGGACCCAGGACAATGGTGGAGGCAGCAACACATCGGTGAGGGGTGTGGTGTTGGATCCACGAAGCTCTATCATTAACAGTATTTAAATCACAGGACTTTAAAAAACTAGACAGAATAACTGTTACTCTATTAATTTCTTTTAAAGTCATCTGTGTAAAATATTATTATAGCTCCTACACGGCAAAGCCTGGCAAGCTCCCCATGACATATTTGATACGCCAAAAAACAGTGACAAATCTCACAATGGAGATGTTACTGGGCCGGCTCAAGCAAATCGATGAACAATGGGAGGACAGTGCTATAGTGCTACACTGAATTATATAGCTCAGTCTTTTTAGGAGAAAAATTGACACTACCTCCTGCTAGGTAGTCTATCATAAGTATTTTATTTTATTTTTTGTTTTGAGGCCACACCTGACAGTATTCAGGTGTGGTCACTGCTCTGAACTCAGGTCAGGCCTAACTCTGCTCAGGTACCATATGCAATGATGTAGATCGAATGTGGTTTGGCAAGCACCCCATCTGCTATACTATCTCTCTGACCCACAAACGACTATTCTCTTCTCAGAAACTATTTTCTCATATCTATATTTTATGTAGTATATTTTCATATAAAGCAGTTCTTCAGTAAAGTAGAAATTTCCCACCAATTACTGACTTTCATCCATATAATTTTACTCCATATTTCTCTATCAGACCATCCAGGGACTACTAAAACATAAGATGTATGTATATGTATATGTATATGTATACACATGTGTGTGTGTAAATAATTGTACATAGTTTTGTTTGGGAGGCCATACCTAGAGGTGCTCAGGACCTATTCCTGGATCTTTGCTAGGGATTTTGCCTGGTGGGGCTTCAATTGCATCCCTGCATGCAATGTCAGGGATTAAATCTGGCTTGGCTACATGCAGAACAAGCACCCCTATCACTATACTGTATCTTTTGCCCTAATAAATCGATAGCACAGCAGGTAGGGCATTTGCATTGCACACGGCCGACCCGGGTTTGATTCCTCCGTCCCTCTGGGAGAGCCTGGCAAGCTACCGAGAGTATCCTGTCCGCATGGCAGAGCCTGGCAAGCTCCCTCTGGCATATTTGATATGCCAAAAACAGTAACAACAAGTCTCACAATGGAGACATTACTGGTGCTCGCTTGAGCAAATCGATGAACAGCCGGAGTACAGTACTACATATCACCACATTTGGTTTTGGTTTTAGGGCCAAACGTAGCTGTGCTTAGGGCTTGCCCCTGGCTTGGTGCTCAAGAATTACTTTGGGTGGGCTCTGGGGACCATATGGAATGCCAGGGATCAAACCCAGGGCAGATGTGTGCAAGGCATGTACCCTACCTGTAGTACTATTATCTCTCCATGTTTGTCTGAGAATTGATATATTAAACATTCTACCTGTTATTTTCCATTTTTCCCTTTCTTCTCACAGAGGTAAATTATTGAACAACACTTTATGTGTCAGGCGTACAATTTTATAACTAATCAAATGTATGGGGACTCTCCTGACTATTACTAAACTCACAAAGTTATCATAAAAATTTTGCTCAAGTATGTTCTGCATAATCTCAAGAGTGACAAATTGGGGTAAATTAAAAAAGAAAGGATTGGTTCTCATCATGACCCGGTAGGAAACTAGAAGAATAAAAGAAACTGGATATTGAGAGATGAGATCAAAGAAACTTAGAAGAAAATATAAATAAATGATAAAATAAAAGATGAAGTGAATGGGACCTGCTTATTCAAAGAGAAAAGACAAAGAGAAGAAAATAGTTAAAGTTGAAAATAACTAAACGTATACATTAAAAAAAAACCTATAAGCTGAAAGAAAAATGGAGACCATAAAAAATGAAGAAGGTGTAAGTAAAGAAATATACTAAGATGAAAGGTACAATGGAACAGTTATCCACAGGGTTTAGTATTCAGAAAAGAGAATATGAAAAGTTGTAGATAAATGACAAAAAATGAGTAGATAGGGTTAAGCTACAAAGTGCTAGAGGCATTGTCCTAGTGTTTCTGTTTGGTCCTGTTCCTCCTGCCATGATAATTTTTCGACTGAAGACCAGTTCTCATTTTATACTGCCTTTGGGGATTCATTTTTCACCTACTATGTTTCTTTAAGTCCTATACCTGAAGGGGAAAAATATGTGCTTATTGGGGCTGGAGCAACAGTAGAGTGGGTAGGGCGTTTGCCTTGCATGCGGCTGACCCGGGTTCAATTCCCAACATCCCATATGGTCCCCAGAGCACTGTTAGGAGTAATTACTGAGTAATTACCTGTGCATTGCCAGGTGTGATCCAAAAAAAAAAACTAACAAACAAACAAAAAAACCCCCAAATCTGGGCCTATTTTTCTCCAACTAACCAGCCATCCTGATATTCTCCAGGCAATCCGTATTTCAGCAAGTTGCAGTTTCACATTTTATTAAATCTGAGTATTATTATGTTGTGTATATGTACCAGAAATTATGTCACCAGTCATTTGTCTTTGGGAACTTGGATTATTTCCAGATTTCAGCTGTTGTAAATAATGATGCAATGAACAAGGGAGTGCAAATGTCTTTTATGAACACGATTTTGGTCATTGGGAGCAGGTGCCAAGAAGTGGAATTTAAAGGTCATAGGAAAGCCAAAGTCTTTTTTTTTTTTTTGAGAAGTATACATATTGTTTTCCAAAAAGGCCGCATCTTTTCACATTTCTACCAGCAGGAAATGAGGGTCCCTTTTATCCCACATCCAGGCCAGTAATGTTTTTGTTCTTTTATGATGTGTGACAGTCTCACAGGTGTGAAATGATATCTTGTTATTTTCTTGCTGTTTGGCTTTGAATTTCCCAGATGATTGAGGCAGAAGAGTATTTTTTTCACTTATCTTTTTACCAAAAGTATGTTTTTGTTGATGAAATTTCTGTTTATTTCTCCTCCCACCCTTTTTTGATTTTTTTTTTTGGTAAAGGTTAACAAATGTTAATATGATCAAAAAATGTCATCCCCCTGTCTGTTAAATGGTAGGAAATATTGTATCTCAGTATGTGGAATATCTTTTTATTCTATTCATCATTTCACTTGAAGTTTCTCAGTATTATATAGTCCATTTGTTTCTTCACTTCCATTTGTTTGGCCAATGGTATTAAGAGATGGACGATAACTCTAGATTCAATGTTATGCATTATTTAACCAATGTTTTCTTCAATGTTATTTCTAGATATTGGTCTATCACTGTATCACTGTCATTCCGTTGTTCATCGATTTCCTTGAACAGGTACCAGTAACATCTCCATTCGTCTTAGTCCTGAAATTTTAGCAAGTGCCACATTGGAGGCTCTTTCAGGGTCAGGGGAATGAGACCCATCATTGTTACTGGGTTTTGGCATATCTAATACAAAACGGGGAGCTTGCCAGACTCTGCCATGCGGGCAGGATATTCTTGGCAGCCTGCCAAGTTCTCCAAGAGTGAGAACTCGATATAGATATGATATTGATATACCTATCAAATTAGATATAGGTGTGGTATTGATATATTTAATACATTTTGAAGTCAAATCTTTACCCTTGAGCTATACCCCGTCTTCATTTAGATTTGACCTTTGTTCCTGGTGTTAGAAACGGGCCTGAGTTTTGTTTTTTTATGCATAAAAATTTAGAAAAATATTTCCTTTAGAAAAATTGTTTTTTTTAAATGTATAAAAATTTAGAAAACCTTTCCCATCACCACTTTTTAAAGATGATTTCTTACTTAGCACTTTTTTCTCTATCTCTCTCTCTCTCTCTCTCTCTTTATTTTTTTTTGTCTTTTGGATGCTATACCCAGCGATGCTCAGGGATTACTCCTGAATGTGCTTGGAGGGCAATATGGGATACAAGGGATAAAACCCTGATTGGTCATTTTCTTTTCTTTTTTTTTTTAATTAGTGAAACACCACTAGGTACAGTTGTAGACTTACAAACTTTTGTGCTTGGGTTTCAATTATACAATGATCGAGTACCCATTCCTCCACCAGTGCCCATTCTCCACCACCAATGATCCTATTAGCCCTTCCACCACTCATCACCCCCCCACCCTGCCCGCATCTGTGGCAGGGCATTCCCTTTTGCTCTCTCTTTCCTTTAGGGTGTTGTAGTTTGCAAAAGAGGTATTGGGTAGCCATCATGTTCAGTCTATAGTCTACTTTCAGCACGCATCTCGCATCCCAAGCGAGTCCTGCAAACATCCTTTACTTGGTGTTCCCTTCTCTATATGAGCTTCCTTTTCCTACAGCATGTGCTGTGATTGGCCATTTTCAAGGCAAATCCTTATCCTCTGTACTATAGCTATGCCTAGTTAAAGATAAATCATTTGTATGTCTGAGAATCTTTCTCTGGACTCTTAATATATCTACTGATATGAGAGTGTCTTTATTCCAGTACCACACTGCTTTGATTACTTTCCTTATATACTATAGTTTGATATTGGGGAGGGCTGGAGCCATAGCACAGCGGTAGGGCGTCTGCCTTACAAGTGGCCAACATGGCCAACCCGAGTTCGATTCCTCCACCCCTCTTGGAGAGCCTGGCAAACTACCGAGAATATCTCACCCGCATGGCAGAGCCTGGCAAGCTACCCGTGTTGTATTCAATATGCCAAACACAGTAACAAGAAGTCTCATGATGGAGACATTACTGGGCCTGCTCGAGCAAATTGATGAACGATGAGAGGACCGTGCTGTGATATTGGGGAGAAAGAAGCTTCCAGTCTTCTTTTTATGTAGGACTACACTGGCTATTTGGGAGGGCTCATTCCGCCATGTAAATTATAAATTGTTTGTCTACTTTCTTTTATGTTTTAAAAGTCTCAGTATTTTTAGAAAGACTACATTGAATCTATATAATGCTT